TTGTGAAGCTGGAATACCACTGATTTAGCATGCTGTTCAGGTTTGGCGCAGCAGTCCAGCGCCAAGGAAGCTGTGACCACTACTTTGTACTGCTAATTGTGACAGATGGCTGTGTAACAAATGCGGCACGAACAGTGAATGCGATCGTGGATTGTTCGGAACTGCCCATATCACTGGTCATTGTTGGTGTTGGCGATCGCGATTTCTCACCGATGCAAAGTCTTCTTTCGCCAATGCTCAAATCTTCGGAAGGCCGCTTGTTACGGCGCGAGATTGTTACTTTTGTCCCGTACACTGCTTCCATGACCGATAATGAGCTTGTTGCTAAATTGCTAATAAATGTACCTCGCCAGTTTCTATCCTGGGCCATGATGCACGGCAGATTTGCCCCTTCAAAGTAGTAGTTTTTTTTTTTTTTTATTTGTCTTTTTGCCAGATTCACTTATTGTAATGCTAGGCGTTTACAGGAGGCGAAAACTTGCGAATCACTGTGTACTTTTTTTGGACTGCGTCTTTGAATCTGACGGACTTATGGACCTTTGTTTCTGTTTAAGGAGTAATTAGAGTGCATCATCTAATCAAGATTAAATAGCGTATTATCCAGCATGCTATCCTCAATTAGGTGCAATCAGATGACCTTCGGAAACGCGGTACACGTGCAAGGCGATAGGCGGCAGGGTCGATCAACCCAGCAGCTGCACTGGACATTTGTGATCATGTCGAGGATAACACGTTTGCTAGTCCAAGCGACCTTGGTGGACATGTTAAGCGCGCATGTGGTGTTACTCAGTGTTGCGTATCTATTCGTGAAATAGCGTTTCGGGTAATACCATTCACCAGTGTTCTGTGTCCTTCGGTGATACTTTTTTGTTTCCTTTTTTATTATGCTTTTTGCGCTGTAACAGTTGCACAAAGCGCATATTGTCGAGAGCCTGTGTGTATGCGTTCCGATTGCATTTTATCCGATAGTTTCAATTCGGGGACCAGAGAAGTTAGGAAGCTGGAATTTTATTGGAAT